CATTTCCTCCATCCTCTCCAACATTTGGTATCATTTGTTCTCTTGACCTTAGCCAGTCTGACTGGGGTAAGATGTGTCCCTCAACTGACAAGTGGATAATGAAAATGTACATTTTATGGTGGTGTTCTGCTCAGCAGTAAAGAAAGATTAAATCATGAAAATTGCAGGTAAATAGATGGAACTAGAAACTGTTATACTAAGTGAAGTAACACAGACTCAGAAAAACAAACGACGTATGTTCTTCTTCATATGTAGATCCTAGCACCAAATCCTTATGAGTATGTATCCAGAAATAACTACAGGAACCAGGATAATGAAATCAGGGAGGTAATGGAAAAGAAAGAACCCAAGATAGAACAGTGGGAAACAGGTGTTACTAAGGGAGATCTGGATAAAAATGGGGTTATTTAAATGGGAGGGGAGACAGAGGGTTATGCAAGGAAACTTGAGGATAAAGGGAAAGAAGGAGCTCAAGAAAGGTGGGACCATAGAAGAAGGGTATTATTAAGGGAGAAATGGAGAAAATGGGGGCACTTTAAATGGGGAACCATGATGGAAAGATTAGACAGAGAGATAAATAATGCCTAGCTAGTTTAAAAAAACCAGGTGGAACCATATTAGTCCAACAACCTACTGACATTATATACAACTAGTTCAAGGAACAAAATACAGGTCTACTCAAGGGTTATCTGAGAACATTTGGTCTTTGCCCAAGCTTTCTCTACATAGCACATGGTAATTAAAAGTACCAGACTGGTAGAACTAACCTTGGATGTTTAACAGCCATACTTTGAATACTTTTTAATCTGGTCAGAGGGACTTAAAGGACAGTTTTGCTCCTTGCCCCCCAAGGTCAACTAAGTTCCAGGAGGACTATAGAGCATCTCTCAAAATGTTCTGTAACTGTGGTGAGTCATGTGTCCTCTTGTTTAGGGATGCCATGGAGACTCCATCAGATGGCCCTGAACCAGTGTTCAGTCTACAAAGAGGAGGGTCAACACAGGAAGCATTTCTTCCATGTTTCCAAGTGAAGCCAACCATGGTTGAGCAGGACCTATAACTTATTTTCACATAGATGGAGCTGGTAAAAGAAAGGAGCCCGGGCCTTCTCCCAAGCCCATCTGACTCCTGAGGAACAGATCCTCAAATGGCCTTAAAAGTAAAAATAAATTGGTTTGTTTAGGCCAACTGTATGGTTTTAAACACCCAAAAGGAAAGTATAACCAATGATTAAATGGGTCAATATAGCTTTTTAAGGGTTCATGTGTATAGCTAAAGGCTACATAATAAGAAACAATGCCAAACGAGATACCTTCCTTTGAGTTGTTGGCCAGGGTGGGCAAAGAGACTCCCAGACAGTAACCAGCATAGAAATAGGAAAATGAACAGCAGACCCCAATCTTACCTAAAGGGATATTGGCAACTGATTGCTGCTAGATGAGAAGAGCTGATCTTCCTATAACAAGGAATTTTAGATAGGTTGACTGGATTCAGTGGATGGAGTAGCACTGGATAATGACTGGGGGACTGACAAGACAGTGGACAGTAACAGGGATGACAGAGTATATGGGCTCCAGTGGGGGGGGGCTGTGGGAGGGGGCCATTTGGGATGCGGGTATAAAGATGAATAAGATTGGGGTGTTCTGTATGAAATGCACAAAAAACCCCATGAATTTAAATATTTAAAAATAATTTTAAGCTGCAAAGATGATAAGTTGGAATTAAGATGTTACTGAAGACGTACCCAAAGTCCACTAGATGGCAGAAGGAGGTTATTGTTTCGGCCACACTAAAACTGGTCTTTAGTCACTATGCAAACAGGAAGACAGGGCCCTGTTCCAAGGTGCAGAAAAGTTGCTGGTGATGAGTGTTTTAGTTCCATTTCCTTTTACTGCGATAAAAGACAAAAGCAACTCAAGGAAGGAAGGGCTATTTTAGTCTGGAGTTCAAGGTAACATTTCGTCATGCCAGGAAAGACAAAGCAGTAGGAGCTTGAAGTGGCTAGTCTCATCACGTCCACACAAGGCAGAGCTGTGATGAGTGCATGCAAAATCTCCCACAGGCATCCCCAGAGGCTCAGATTTTAGATCTTGTTAACACTAGCCATCACAGTGGGCATCCAGAGGATCAGGAGGCATGAACACAAGTGTGTAAAGCCATTAAGGACAGTATATTTGGGGAAAATATGGAGCAGAATGCTGTCATATGTCTTAATTGTCACTTCTTTACTGATAGTGTGTTGCCGGAAAGCAATAAGAAAGACCTTAGAATTTGAACTGAGGGCCTATAAATTGTTAACTAATGCAGTTGACCTGGCGCTAGGAAGGTTTGGCCGAGAGGAATCACAAGATAAGTGTTTCACCCTCTTGTTTTGGAACATACTGCATATAGCTTATCCAAGAATAGCCAGTAACAAATGTGTCAGGTTAATTACAAAACTGAGAACAATGAAAATGCTTGAGTTAATGTTTTTAAACACTAATGAATCTGAAAACTTCCTAAAAGAAAGTAATTCATGAAATGGAAATCTGTAACTAATGTGAATATTCTGGAGGTCTTACTCTAGTGGTCAGGGTCTGGGCCAGGTGTTTCCAGGTTCTTGGGCTCTTATCCAAAGGATTAAAATTAAGGGCTCACACATATTTGCAAAAGAAGCATGACAGTTTTGTTTGGAGCAAAGTGAGTGCAGATTAAAGAGGGATGCACTGCTAAGACTGACAGCAGGCCGCATAAGTGCAGATACTCAGGGCTTTTTATGGGGTTCATGGGAAGGAGTTGGTTGCTAAGACACATAGTTTGGGTGGTTCTCGATTTTGATTGATTACTAGATCAATTATGTAATCATTTCTCAATCAGACCCTGAGTGGCTTTACAAACCAAGAAGAAAGCTGAGCCAAGTATAACAAATGTTTTCCAGATTTCAGTAGCTTGCTTAAGTGTGTGTGCATGCATGCACAATTTAATGATTCGGACGTCTTAAAACAGCTTAAATTTAAACACTATATCCAGGCCAGGTGTGTAGCTCACACCTTTAACCCTAGCGCTTGGGAGGTAGACACAGGCAGATCTTTGTGAGATCAAGGCCAATCTGGTCTGCATAGGCTAGCTAGGGCTACAGGGAGGGAGACCTTGCCTCAAAAAAACAAAGCAAAAAATATGCATAACAAAAGAGAACAGGGTCACTTTTTCTGGATATGAAGATACAGTGACAGATGGACAGAGCAGAGTTTAAACCCGGGTCCTAGTTCTTTTCTGTGTACACCATTCCTTTTCATTCAGCAGAGGTCACATCATCAGCAGTTTCCAAAATGGTACCTGTGCGGGTTGGTTTTCATTATCGGCACAACATGAGCCACCTGGGAAGAGAGATCTTTAATTGAGGAATTTCCCAGATCAGATTGACCTGTGAGAGACTGTGTTGATTGATGATGTGGAAGAACACAGACCACTGTGGGTGACTCCCACCCCAGTTAGATGGTTCTGAGCTATCTATGAAAGCAGGCTGAGCATTAGCCAGTAAGTGAGCCAGTGAGCAGCATCTGCCATGGTTTCTGCTTCAGTTCCTTCTTGAGTTTCTACCTTGACTTCCCTAAATGATGGGCTGTGGTCTGGAGGAGTAAGCTGAAAGAAATCTTTTCCTCCCCAAGGTGCTTTGTCAGAATATCACAGCAACAGTAAAGCAAACCGGGACAGTACCTGTCTCATATGGTTGTAAAGATTAAACAAGGTGATTAAATGCTTGCCATTACTGGGAAGCAGAGTGATGCCAATGTGTGGTGTCAGAATTCCAGCTGGTTATGATTACTTAACTGCTGCTGAGCTTGCTGTGTTAATATTTGTAGGAACAAAACACTGGTTGCTAGACATGCTAAGCTTTTTTCATTGAAGAGCGCCTTTCATTCTGTAACCCAGATGTATGCTTTAGACCTAGACGACTGGCCCTGATTCTCATCCTTCCCCACTAGTATGCTTCATTCAGACCCAGAATTCCTGTTAGGCCACAAATGAACTTCTATTGGGTCAGTCTCTCCCTAGTTTTCCTCCCTATACCTGTAAGTCTCGTTAGTGCTTTTGCCAGAGAACTGGCCCTTAGGAATATAGAACATATAATCATTGGCTTTCAATATTGAGACAGGCTTAATGAAGTTGAAAAAAGAGATTTGAGGAAGGCACCCTTCTCATCCTTGAGGCCTCTCCATTCATGTGGTTAGAGCAAGTTTAGATAGAAGAGTAGACCAGTGGCATTGCTATTCCAACATCTCTCCTATTTTTAAGATAAGGAAAAAAAGAGATGTGGGTTAGGGTTAGAGAAGAAAAAAAGTGAAATAAAACTATATCACTATTTTGAAGAGATAGATTCTCAATTGTAAAACTGGGATCTGGAGTCCAAGATCCAGTTCTAGGTTCTAGAAAGAAGCATTCTCTACTAACAAAAATTTCAAACTTACAGTATCTTAGCTTTAACTGTGTACTAGCAACTTCCTCTCTGAGGAGTGAGGCAAATCCTATAGGTCTCCATTGCCTAGAAAAAACTGAGAATCCAGTTGAAGAGTTTGAACACAGCTGCTGTGAGGTCAGGAGGACAACTGCTATGGCATGTCTGGTAGATCGCTCTCCTCCAGCTCTTCCGTTCTTTCTACCCTCCCTCCTCCACCTTGTTATTTGAGCTTTGGAAGGGATGATATAGATGCTCCATTTAGGACTGAGGACTCAACAGTCATTCTCAGCACTTTGGCTAGCTGTCAGTCTGTAGTCATTACCATCCACTACAAGGCTGAGATTATCACTAATCTATAGACATAAACATAAGTATTTGTA